TTGTCATGAAAGGCTTTTTGTCTGGTGAGCCAACACCTCCTAACAGAAGAGTTCTGTAAGGAGGTGTTGGGTGAGCGCGTAAGCGGGTTTGCTATCCTCACCTCCCATATCTACCCTTCGACTGGCTTTCCTTTGAACACGTCTCCAAGCTGTTGCGCTGCAGATCAATATCAGAATGCTTGTCACTGTCCGTGCCATTTACATGCCTCCTAATGAAGTGATAGATAAAAAGTAATTACATGATTTGGTAGAACAGTTGCCTACTTTCATTGTAATTGGAGATTTCAACGGTTATCTCTGGGGTAGTGGTGATATAAATTTTCGGGGAAACAAATACAAGATCTCATTAGTGATCACTGCTTATGCCTCCTTAATAGCAGATAACAAACATATTTCCACCAGCCGTCGAGGACATTTCATAGTATTGATCTGGCCATTTGTTCACGATCACTTCTTCCTTTTTGTTAATTTAGCGTTAGGAGCGACACTTTTAATAGTAATCATTTCCCTAGTTTCGAGACTTTTAATCGAGTTGCAGCATGGCCCAATTTCAGATCGCCACGTTTTATTTACGAACAGGCAGATTGGGAAATTTTTTTATTTGACCATGCTCACCAATATGACAAAGAATGTGCCAATTGATGAAGCTGTAAAAGCTGTCACCGATACTCTTGTTCAGGCAGCTAAAATCTCTTATTCCCATATCGTCAGGCAGGCTTCCTAAATATAAACGTTATATGTCGATGACTTGCAGATAAGTTGCCAAGGTGTAGACATACAGTGCATCGAAATCCATTGAAATCTTCATCCAAATCTAGAAATCTTGCTATAAGGCTGAACAGTTCCAGTAGTCTCAGAAGTTAAGTTTCTAAGAGTAATATTTGATAAGAAATTCATCTTTCTTTCCCATGCCTCATACCTAAAGAAAAAGTGTTTAAAAGTATTAAACATTTTGAAAGTATTATCAAATGCCTTTTGGGGAGTAGATAAAACTTCCATGCTCCCAAATTACAGAGCTCTTATTCGCTCCAAACTCGATTACGCATCAATGGCCTGTGAACCGGAACGGCCTTCTGTGATAAAGAAGCTTGATCCTGTTCACCTACAAGCTCTGAGGATTTGCTCATGAGCTTTCAGAACATCTCCTGTGCAGAGTTTGTATGTAGAATGCTTCGAGCCACCCCTCCACCTGAGACGCGAGCAATTGTCTCTTCAATATTACTTCAAAACTGTTTAGTATCCTGATCATCCAGACAACCACTTGGTGCTTGATAGCCAGTTCTATTTGCTCTACCAAGTGCGTCATTCTTGCATTCCTGCTTTTGGATTACGCGTCGACAGTGGATGCAAGAACATGACTTAAAAGAGGTGATAGTTCAAGCAGTAAAGTACTTGGGAATACCTCCTGGGAAGATGCTCACATTGAGCTTCTCAATATATTTTCCAACTTGGTTTAAGATAGCGCGCACCAGTGATGTCGTGTATAAGCAGATTTTCTATGAACATGGACAGGCTTTCAATGACCATGTTGCAGTATATACAGATGGATCTAAGTCCCAGGGTTACGTCGACTCTGCCTTCGTGTGTGAGAATACTATTGAGAGAAGAAAACTTCATCTCGCTTATACCATCTTTACTGACGAAATCGTTGCTTTGCTATTAGCTCTGTCATAGGTAAACAACATAGGAGAAATTTCATTATTTACAGACTTACTTAGTGTGCTGGAAAGTTCTCGAATTTATGTTAACATAAATCAGTTAATCGCAGAAGTGCTGAAGCTCAATATTAGGTTCCAGACCGAAGGTTACCGGGTCCTTTATTGCTGGGTATTAAGTCATGTTGGTATAAAAGGAGACTAACTGCCGGGTATCGCTGCAAAATACGCCAGTAGGACATCCAGCCGACCCGTCCCCTGTTGAGATATTGAGGAAAATTCTGATGAAATGACAGAAGCTTTGGGATATGCCGTTAACCAATAAATTAAGAAATATAAAACCTAAAATAGAACATTGGAAATCGGCCCTAAACCGAAAGGAGCAGGTTCTCTGACCGGACTAAGAAACTGTCACACATAGATACCCATTGATGAGCGAAACTGAACCAGTATGTTGTGAATGTAGTACTATTTTAACCATTAAACACATTTTAATTGATTGTCCAAATTTTAATCCCTTTCGAAATTTTTATTTTAATATTTGAGATTTCAGCAAAAGATTTAGTTGCTAAAGAACCACATTCTAACATTTTTAACTTTTTAAAACATACTAAGTTTTATCACGTTATTTGAATGCCCTGAATACAATTTGGGTTTCAGAAGATCTAACTAGGATCTAGTTATATCATCAAAATTTATCCTTTGACTTTAGTTATTTATCTGTATTTTATGGGTTTTTATAGCCTAAGTTCTTCGCAAAAGAATTTTGTGTTTGATTTTATTGCAGGTTTTATTATAAACTTATTTTATACCTATATGTAACGTTGTCTTAAATTTCCATTTGTAAGTATGCACCAGATGGTGCATGTGTTCTTTTCCTTTTTAAGTTTTGGAAATGCACAGTTTTTTGTTTGGCGCGACATAACCCCTATAGGGTTTGTGCCAAAAAACCCCAACCAACCTCTTTAGCTGCAGAAAAAAAAAGAAGGCATTTATATTCAAAATTGCGCCAAATTAAGGTCCGTTTTTTGGCCTAACTTAAACTTGTTATATTAAAATAATAAATTCTCCCACTTAGTGCACAGATGAAGAAAAGATAATAAATGTCATAGTTTTTCTTCGATTTAGTAATAAATGCACAGGGGGAAGAAACCTGCAACTTTCAAGAAAATGTAGTGTATTTTATCTATTTTAATATTAATAAGTTAATTTTTTGAGCGTTATAAATACTTACAATAATATCTTTAAATTAAAGCTATTTTTTCACCCACAGTTTAAGGTTTTTGAAAATTTAAAACGTTTCTTTGTTGCGAATTGCGTCTTTGCAGTCGTTGTCAACATGATAATGACATTACTCCTCACTCCTGTTTCGGAGAAAAAAGTACTATAAACGCCCTTCTCCTCAAATATCCTGGTATTTGTGCCCTATTATTTCGACTGCCGGAAAGAAATAATTCATCGTACACATCACCTCGAAGGTTCAGAGCATGCTAGCACCGGAAATGCAGGCATTTTTTAGCAAGTTATCAAACTTCTAGCTTCAAATAACTCAATTATTCAGCATAATTTTAAGGAATAAAGAATTTATGTACTGCTTATCTACACTGGTTATCATAAATTAAGGAAAAATCGCAAAAATCACGATTACTAAAAGAGTTACATGTAGAATTTTAGGAAACTTACCCACAATATACAACACATAGTAAGGTATCAAATAACATAAAAATAAATTACCAGACAACTATGGAAGTATAGAAATTAGCACATGTATAAAATGAACAAATCGAAGGTGTCAGTTTGCTATAGGAAAAGTACCTTCAATATGGAATATGGAATATGGTCTCCTCTAGAAGCAATACAGCACATACAGCGATGCGTGATGCTTTCAATTATGCGATCTATCAGTTCCATAGGAAGCGAGAGCCATTGCTCTTGCAAAGCAGTTGCAAGCGCGGCAAGGGTCTGAGGGGGCGGAATTGAGAGCAGTTAGACGTCTCTCTAAAGCATCCCAAACGTGTTCGATAGGATTCAAGTCTGGAGATCGAGCTGGCCACTCCATGCGCATAATTGTTTCCTGTTGAAGATAATCATCTACGATGCGAGCCCTGTGTGGTCTTGCGTTATCATCCTGTAACAGGAAAGCATCACCTATTGCCCAGGCACATGGGCGCACATAAGCATCAAGGATGTCATCTCTATAAACCAGTGCATTCACGGTGAAAGGACATGGAGGTTTGTGCGTCCACCCAAAGAGATACCACCCCAAACACAGACACTGCCTCTTCCGTATGCATCTCTTTAACGGATGATAATGGGTTCCAGGTTTTCTCCATATCAAATAACGCCTACTATCGCTTTCTAGACTAAACCTGGACTCGTCCGTAAAGATAACAGCCCTCCACTGATCAGGCGTCCAGTGGACATGTTGTCGTGCCTACTGCAAACGGTCTCTCCTATGGCGTGACGAGAGCGGCACGCAAATGGCTGGTCGTCTCGCATACAGACCACCATCGTGAAGCCTTCTACGCACATTTGACACCAACCTTCCGGTGGCTGCAGCAAGGGAGGATCTAAAAAGAGTCGGAGTAGCAGTTGTATTCCTTCGTGCACATAATGTCAAATATCGGTCATCGGTGGTCGTCGTAGCAGTTCGCTGTCCTTGGCTTAACCTCAACCTCCTAGATGCCGAATCTGTGGTTTGAAATCGCCTCCAAAGTCTATGAACCACAGAAGGACTCTCATTTAGCCATCTGGCCACTTCTGTTTGACTTTATCCTGCCTCTAGTCTCCCAATGGTTTTCCATCGTAGTTCTGCAGGCAAATGATGCCTGGAGGTCATTGTTACGAATTGGCTATCTCACATTTCTGATGTCACTATCACAGTAAAATATGTGGGCTTACTCTCAAACATGGACTTTTATTCTCCTCGCAGATGACGTATTCCGAGCGCAGCGCCACTCATTTGCATATTGCAGTTTTTCTCAGCTACTCTTACTTGGCAACATATTCAAATTTTACACGGTTTGGCTTATTTTTGAGGGAGTTATAGCTATTGTAATTTTTCCTTAATTTATGATAACCAGTGTATATTACCACGAACTAATATTTTTACCATTGTTTCTCGCTTAGCAGGTTTTTCGTATGCTTTTCCATAATCAGATAGCCAATGAAAACTTTCCATGTTTTCAGAGCTCTAGAGGACTGAAAGTCCTTTAATGTTTTGCCTTATTTAAAAAAAAAAAAAAAAAAATTCTATATTTTTCCATTTTAGAACATTTTTATGTACATAAATTCCTGCCATTAGCTTTCTTGAACTAATTTGATTCTTCTTTCATTTCTATTTAGTATTTCTAAACTCAACTATTGCTGTCGACCGACTGGCTCTATTTATGTCAACCGTCGTCGGTTAGTATTGTGCGTCAACAAACAGGTGCTTAAAGATCCTGACAAGGTAATCGAGACTTCAATTAGTTATTTTTTAGAAACTAGAAGTTTTAGACAAAAAAATCTAGTATTTACAGTAAGTAAAATAACTTTTTATTGTATTAAAAGTTTCTGAAAATTATTCCAAAAAACCTAAACTGTGAAATGCCGAGTTTTGAAAATTTTGGAAAATTTCGGCTGTTACGGAAATCTAAATCGTAGGAATGCTCATAAAATTGAATTTCAAAAAATTAGTAGTAATATTACGGATGTATTACTACTCATTTTATATTACTACTAACTGGTATTGAAATTTTAGACGTTTTTAATAGTTCAGTACAAAAATTGAATATTTAACCGTTGGTATTTTCTACAGGAGTGATCTTTCTAAATTTGATATGCACAAGACTGTCGTTATAACTCCTCATTATAGAGATTTCCATTAGTGCTAGATGCATATGGTTAGAAATCGTAACAGTCCATCGAGTTCACTTTTGTTCCAATAAGACTCATAACACCCTTTTTCTGTAATAAATGAGCATTTGGTAGTAACATGTCTGTAATAAATGAACATAACTGTATTTAAAATGAAAGAAATTTCAGACGTAGCTATTGCATTTAAAAATAAAACTGTTTTCGGCTGACTGTACTCTATTTTCATTGAGTGAAATCCAGAAACCCTTTCCTTATATTGCGTATAACAAATATTTTATCAGTTTTTCCTTTGGAAAATTACTGTAGTGAATATAAAAAAATTCGTACATCACAGCAAAAAATTTTGTTAAAATCAATAAATTCAGATTTAACAAAAATAAGTTAAATCTCTTTCGGACGTATTTAATACTGGATTCGTTCTAGGAAAATAAATTTTGAGGTGGATAACGTTAAAAATATTTTCAGAATTAAAAAATATTCGTCCAATTTTTACTTTGTTTTGATAAAGTTTGATTAGCATTAAGCAGGCAAGCTTAGCATTTGCAACTCCTTGAAGTGTTTTTGGGTACTGAATCCATGCAATTTGAAGTGTTCAGTATGTCTGAAGTTATCAATATTCGTCCGTTATTCATGAACCTCTGCCAAATTTTCTAAGTTGTCCTTGTCTTACAGTTATCCTAGACTATAAGATTTCGAAGTCGTAGATAAGTTTTCCCTCAGTCACTTACTAGCTTCATCAGCAGTTCATCTACCACGACTACGAGATTCCGAAACCAGAATGACATACAAGCTAATTCTTTATATACACAGATTGGTATCATTTCAATCTCAAACCAAAAGAAATCACATTTTACAGATGTCTGCGTAGTTTTAGTGCGTTTGACTCTAATTTGTGTTATCACTTATATAAATGTAATTTTTTATAGAAATGCATTATTGAGAGAAATGCATTTTGAATCTACCCGTGGTTAATTAAGTTAATAAAACGCAGTTTTATTAAACCAAGTGGCCTACGATAGCTTTTTTTACTCATTGTATTGATTTACGAAGCCTAAATGAAAAAATTGACAGTTCCAATAAAGTTGAAATATCCGCTTGAAGTATCTAAACAACTTGGGTACTGTCTGTCTATGCGAAGAATAGCTCCCACCACAGTGTCTGGCGGGTAGCGGTCGCTATAGCAACAGGGCTAGTATATTTTAGGGTGTACTCCAACTGCGCTAATGAAAATCCCCCCCCGGTCGAGCTATAGTCCAACTGCGCCAATCAAAATTTCTCTCCCCCCCCCCGTGCTGCCTACAGGGTTACAATTTAACTTTTCGAAGCCAATTGTAGCCAAGAAGAAAATAAAAATAAATAGAATTACATATCACAAGTAAAAGATATCTAACAAGCAGGCTAATTACTTGAATAACGGTAATAAATGCGAGAGCTAACAAAGAAAATAAAAGGTATTGGTAAACATACATATTAGCATTACAAACATCTTTCATTTATGATAATATCATAAATAATTATAAAGCATACAAATTATATTTTTAATAAATTACATGAATAATAGTCAAGATGTCTGAACTAGACTGGAAAATTTACGAGTGCAAAAAAATTATTCCATATCAAAGTGTGTTAAAGTGTGTTAGAAATATTTTTCGTTAATTAAAGCAATCATGTAAATGTTTGCAGAAATTAATAGTTAAATTTAAAAAAAAGCTTAGCATGAAATATATTATAACAACATTACTATGCGTTTGCATCACTGATGTATAAATTGTAAATAAATTTAAATTATTATGCTAAGTTTTTCTAAAATTTATCTAGAAGAAATGAATTAAACAGTACTGCAAATTAATATAATCAATCAGGCCTCTTAATAAATAAAAGCTTATTTTTTTAACCAAAAACTAAAAATTAGGATGCAAAAGTTTGTGTAATATACTTGGAAATATCTGAACATATAATTAGTTAGAAACATACAATTAAATTAATAACAAGCTAATTAACAGTAACATTAAGCTTAATTTCATTCAATCTAAAACAAGCAATCGATCAGGAGCTCCACATAACTGAAGTTTTAATGCTATTTTACGTAGATTTGCGTATAAAATAAAAGTTGCACTTGTGAAACAAGTGAATACCGTACTGATAGTCAACAGGAATTAAAATACAGTGGTTAAAAATATAACTACTTGTCAGAAGGTATGCAAAGTTGCCATGGCTAGAGAAATTGAATGATTATAGAAAACTCATAAAGTTAAGCGCTACAGTGTGAAAAGAAAATTCTGGAATAAACATGTTAAGAAAATTAGATGGAGAAATAATCCTTAATTTATTGATATCCATATAAACTCTATGCTTTTGGAAATGTGAATATAATTTGCACCGAGTATATAATTTGCACCGAGGTATCAATCACCGAAACTGAGTTAATCCCTTTCTTTATTTTTTCTTATTAGAGGGATTTGTAAAACGATATGCTAAGGTAAAGGCGAAAATTTTTGCAATATTTTTAAAGAATAAATTAAAGTATTTTTACTTCATGAACTGAAATTTTTACGCTACATTTTTATACAGTAAATAAGACTTTTCCGCTTGGTCATAAGACCTTTTGAAATTAGGCTGAACAATATATTAAAGAAAATAGAAGAAGATGCAGCACACGTAAGAACAAAAGTGGGCTGAATTAGAGATTTACATGTTTAATGAATGAGTTAAAATTACCTGTATGCCATTATGAAATATTAGGAATGTTTCATAAAAGCATGAGTGAAGAAGGCAATGACAATCTAAATCATTGTAATCTAAATGTATATCATTATCAGTATCTGCTATTAATTTCAATACTGTTGAAAAAATTATAAATGAATTATATTATAAATCACATAAACTCGTTGCATTATAAATTACAACAGTTAGAAATATTATTAGCGTGATTTAGCGACCATCTTTGTTAAATAATTTCGAGTAATTAATTTTACAAGTAATTTAGCCTGAAACTAGGTTGGAAAATAAGCTACATGCTGAAGATTAAGCTTTGCCAAGGTGTTAGAAACATCTTCTGTTAACTAGAGTTGTGATGCAAGAATTTGTAAAAATTATCATTTAAATATAAATTTGCATAACTACAATACAAAGTATATAAATTCTACATACATGAAAACTTGAGTACAGTGCAACAATATGTGAAAAAGGAATGGATTAAAAGGGAAGTGAAAATCCCAGGATATGAATATAAGGGAGTTTATTTATTTTGTTAATTATGAAAATTCTGCTGACGCTCATAGTTATTAACTTATTAATTAAATGTATGCCAAAGTACGTCAGGTGGAAAACGGAATAAATATTTAAACGTTTCTAGTATTAAAATATGGAATTTGTAACAAAGTTAAATAACCTTAAAATAACTTCAATGATTAAAAATGGAAAGCTTAATACGGGAATATATTGCAATAATATTAGTGTGAATTTAGAACGACTTAAGAAGTCCAATTTTTAGATTTAATAAAGATAATTTTTATAATTAGAACTGTTTACCTAAAATGGTAAATTTGAAAGTTAAAACCATTCTGCTATCCAAGATGTTAATATTTATCTAGACAAGAAACTTATTTAAGGTGAGCTACAAATCTGATATTTGATAGGTTGATTATGTCATTAATCTATCAATTTTACTATTCAAAACTGATTATATATATATATACACCATCAGCGACTAAAATCTACAACTTGGAAAGTTTTTAATTCTTGCAGAAAATAAAAAAGATCTGGCTCATAATTCCTTTAAGCATCATAAAACTTTAAAATGAGTGTAAAAGAAATTTATTTTTTAGCACACGCCAGATTTTAAATTGATATTTGTTTTACATGCACAATTTTTACAATATTGATAAACGAAAATAAAGGCTTGCAATCTCAATAGAATGTCCCATTAATGGCGATAAACGACTTTTTGTAGCACCCAATCTTCTTGGAAAGAAATGGGGTACAGGAAACGTCGCGCAGTTCGTGGATTCGAAAAGAGGGGGATGGGGATTTTCGATCAAATTTGGCGCAGTTCGTACCCTACCATGTTTTAAATAGGGGCGAGCCAAGAGTTGCTTTATTGTTATTTTGTTTTTGGTTACTGTTGGCTGAGGGGAAAAGTTAACATTCGTCTTCAAGACACCCCTACGGAAAATGGGTCAAGGCTCATTTCTACGGCAACAGCTCTAGACTAAATGGTGAGAGGTTTTCTTATGATAGACTGTAAATGCAACTAAAGTCGCTACTAGAGCCGCGTTATAGCAAAAGCTCTGTGCTAGCAAAGTAAACATGACCAGCGTTTGACAGTTCCTAAAAGATAAGTTAAAGTTCAAATCTAAGCCTTCTTTGCGTACTTCCACTTTGCAATTCTGGAACGCATAGTTCTAAAACTGCAGGCACAACTCTTAGGACAGTCTTACAAGTCTAATCTATGTGAAACTTCTAGTTTTCTTGATCTGGGGAGGTGCCTTATAGAAACGTGAAAAATGTTTGTTTACATGTTTAGAAGGAACATTTGACGATGTCGGCAATACTGAAAAACCTCTGGGCAAATCTATAATTTTAGACTAGTCT